TTTGCTTGGTGAATTACACAAATCGACTCTAGTAATTATTCAGCTCACCTAATCATAGCTATTTGGGTATGTTCCTAACGGGCTGACACACTACCAACCTCTGTTCATCATGATCGGAAGCACTGGTGAAACACATGGCCGGATAATGAGTGTTATTTTTTTGCTTTTTTTTTTTTTTATAGGTGTAAATTAGTAGTCACATCAAAATACATGGGGACAATCAGAAACCGTCAGAGTGGACTGGTTTACTCGTCCTAAAGGATCTATTATTCTGTCTGCAAATTATGTGATGCTTTTATTAAAAAGCTGTCATAGTATCTCTCACATTTGACTGTCGTCCATGTGCCGGGTATATTCTCATCAGCTGGTATTTGATTCAGTCATAAATTCGTCTATGTTTAAGGAAATATTTAAACCACATGGGATCGAGATAGATTTAAAACCCCATTTGAAAGCCAGATAAATATTCTCACGAAATATATTATCTGCTTTCGAACAGTTAATGGAAATAGCACCGACATCCGTCGACATGTGAAGAAAACCTCAGACGCACAATATAGAGTGCGATGGATAAATTGTCGGCTAAATTACGCAAAAATAAAAACAGCACTAATATCTCATTTTAACGGATATTATTACCAGAATTACACAAAAATATCTTGAAACAGTAAAGAGTAAATTTATTCAATAAAATTTACATTATTTAACCGTTTGTGATTCTCAGAACTTATTTATCGCGGATAACGAAGTCTTAATATCTACATATTTATTCATATTAGACAATGAAACTTAGGACAGTGATTAAAAATCTAGTAAAACAGATATCAGTTATATTTTGCTTTAAGTTCGAATCAATTCTCTCAATGTTTGAGGGATCTGATAGATTTAGATTTTATCTAAAATCGATGGCGGATCTTTGGACGGCGACAAATTTTCAAATAAGGTTTTCTCAATGCTTGTTTTACAAATAAAATCCGGAAAAAAGCGCCCGATATTCGGGGCTATTTTAATGCAAAGTAATATATCAATGTATTGTTGTTCTGGCAGAGGGAGGAGTATGTTTTTATTTGCCAAAGGAAACCTGCCAAAATCAACGAAGGAAGATCCCAGAAATATCTTCTTTTTACATCCGAGAGAATGGGAGATGTCACCTCTGATGAAGATGGCTACCTTGCACGCAAATTATTCATAGAACAATCCTTCCAGCTAAATGCAGTGATTTCAAATGAAGCTCTCAAAATATAAACTTAACACGATCTTGTCTGAGGTGCCAATACATGTGTCAAGTAATTTATAACTGTTGGATATGAAGCATTTTACAAGTACACTGTTAGTTGAAGGAGAAATTTTTGGAGTGCAGTATAAACTCATTATCACAAACTATGTAACATTTTCATCAAATAAGCAATTGGAGAGTAATTTAACAGGTCTCTTACTTACCAGTTTGTAGGACAATAATTTCTTTCAACAAAAACAACGTATTTTGATATTACAGTACGTCTAATACATTAGCATTAAATATTCCAGACCGTTATTAAGGGATCGTATTATACAGCAAGGAAGTGCAAATGTATTGCAGTATGCAGTGCTTAACAGATAGCTCTTGGAAAAACACGTCATATAGATCAGTAAAACGCAGAAAGGAAAATGTTGTTAAGCTCCAACGGTAAAATGTTTTGATTGTGAAAAGGAAGCTGAACTGCTATGTAATATTAGTCCTCCTGTATGTCGGAAAATGCTGGACATTTGCCTCACACAGCAATAGAAGATTTGGGGCAAGACAGATGTGGTTCTATACAAAAATGCATGGACAGAACATGCAAGCAACTAGGAATATGTAAACAAAAAGGACACACTGTGAAAAGAGGGATTGGAGTATCTGACCATCACAGAATATTTTAGAGGTATAAGAGGAAGTAGCGAATGATCCACCAAATAAGATTCTGTAAATGAATAAAAGATGGAGAGAGAAACGTAGTATAAAGAGACGCATTGCTAAGAATTACAATGAATTGTGGAGAGCCATGATCGCCAACACCCTGAAGAAACATGTTACATAAAAGTGTGGGACTCATCTCAGATGGTGCCGTTGTGGATTTTGGAATTAATGTTTTACATGTAGGGAAGGACTACAATCTGGATGTGTGGGTGTTGTAATGGATATTAGCTCGGAATGAGAGCCGAGTTCAAATTCCAGTCAGGTTCGTTACGTTCACTTAAACCAAAAAAAAAAAAAAAAAAAAAAAAAAAAAAAAAAACTAAAAAAAAAAAAAAAAAAAAAAAAAAACAAACCAAAAAAAAAAAAAAAAAACAAACCAAAAAAACTAAAAACCAAAAAAAAAAAAAAAAAAACAAACCAAAAAAACTAAAAACGAACAACTAAACAGACACAACCCCCCCCAAAAAAAAACCCCGAAAAACAAACAAACAAACAAAAAAAAAAAAAAAATGTGAAAAAAAAAATCTAAAATCTTATACAAAACTTGTAAAAAAATACAACTGATTTTTTTATGTTTATCCTTCAGTTATTTATTCAGTTAACTCATTTTACACCGATGTGGCCACCATTTCCCTCCATATCACAATTGTGGTTCATGGTGACATTCGCATCAGAATAGTGGAATGGACTACCGGTTACTTTTGCACTGAAGATGCCGAGTTTAACACGTCCCTCCTCTCTGAAGTTTAAGAGGCAATACCTACAAGGCTTGCAGGTTGTTTTCTTTTTCCTAAACTCACGATGGGATATGAAGGCCGTGTGCTGCCAAGACTATATGCCCACCTTCTCAGGCGTATTGAGAAGATCCAAAGGAATACAGGACATTACATTTGGGGTCCCGGCTTGGCTTCAGAAGTTGTCAGAAAGTTGTCAGTGTTGACAGCCAAATAGCTTTGGGGTACCACTCCGGGTTTTCTGTCGGGTTTTACTTACACAACCATTTCCTTATTTTGTATATGACCGCAAGGCAGTGAAGGTTTAAAATGAGGTTTTTCCTTCTCCTAGATGGATTGTCGAGCTCCATCTACCCGAAGTAGCCGGATTTTCACCTTCGCCCAATATTCGGCTTCAAGCTGGAATTATGTTCGCTACAACATAAATGTAATCTTAGGGGTTTAAATAAAGGGAGGAGGCGTTTGTTTATTAAAACCACTCCATTCATTAATTTCGCCTGGTTTTAAACTTTTAAATGAATTTCCGAGCCCCGCTTTTATTAAAAGCTCTCGTTGATTGCATATTGAGAGAAAAAAAAAAACTGTCCCTTATTAAAACAATTTAGTACATACTTATTAACCCACTGGGAGTTATTGAAAACCGAGATATTACCGATTGTAGAATGTTGCTTACTTGCTAATACCGATATCAAAGTACTGATCGAACTGGACACTGCTTAACTTTGGTTTGGTTTACGGCATATCTACCTCAATGGGTTACTAAATGTCAACAAGATTTGTATAGTTGGTAATAATATTTCGTCTAAAATGCAGAGTTGGTAATAATGTTTCGTCTAAAATGCAGAGTTGGTAATAATGGTTCGTCAAAAATGCAGAGTTGGTAATAATGGTTCGTCAAAAATGTATAGTTGGTAATAATGGTTCGTCAAAAATGTATTACTAGAAATAATTTTTCTTCAAAAATGATTGGTGGTAGTAATATTTTTACAAAGTATCTCTGATATCAAAATCTATTTTTACACTTTCATAGAGTTTTGACCTCAGTTTGGTGGTTAACTATTTGCCCAAAGCTGGGATCCTAACAGCTGCTACCACTCCGGGTCAGGGTGGACCTGGGAACAGCAGCAATTAAGAGTTGGTTCCACGCTCCTTGAAACCTCCTGATCAGAGTCCTTGCCGTTGGGCGTAATTTATCGTCTTTAACATTCGGATTCTAAAGTATAAAGCTTACAGTAGAATTAAGCCGGTAATTGGAGAAGAACAGTTGGACTTTGATCATGATACTAACACAAGAAATTCTATCTTCATAATCCGAAGGCCTAACAGAGCGAGCAATAGAAAAGATCTATATTTTATAGGTAACACAAACCTTGAATAAAGTGCAACCTGAATATCTATTTGAAATGCTAGGAAAGCTTGATCTTTATGCAAAAGATTTTAATAATCTCTCATCTAGGAACAAACCATCAGCATATGGTTAGAGAATGAGATAATATACAAAAACAGAAAGAATTAAATAAGGACGCGTTTTCCCATCGGATTTATTAGCCCAATACAAGCGAGACGATCTGACGAGAATTAGAAAAGCTGCCAAGATTTATTATCGGCGAATATAATATCAGATATGCGGATGTCCATTATTAATAACAGAGTTAGAAAGAAAACTGAAAAAGAAATATAGATAAGGTATGAAAGGAAGGCAGGAAGAAAAGACTATTAACTATAACAACAGATTGTATGGATATCAGCAAAAAAAACAACGCAAGATATTTGCTATGTATTGGGGCATTAAAATCAAGTATGTATACAAATTTAACTATATAGGTAGTGTAGTAAGGACGACGGGAAATGTAACGCAGAAATCTGAAGATCCATAACGAAAGGTGCCTTCCAAAAACTAAGCAAAGTATTAAACGAATAAAATGTCATTAGAATCAAAGAATGTTGAACGGTTACATAACAGCTAATTTTCTACACAGTATTAAATGCTGGATAATCTCTTCATACCTGAATGCGGCTTGAAACAACAATGCCGAGAATCTTCATATGAGGAAGCTTTCAGGAAAATAGGAACTAAATCGATTTGTTTTTATGGCTTATCAAACTTTTGCGGGTCATTTAAAGATGAAATATTTTTAGATTCTAAGAATTTTTCGGAGATAATTATTTGATACAAGTTCTACTAATTAACCCATAGCTGGAGGGAGAAGAGGTGCATTCATACCTTTCCCAGTAGTATTGGCACATAAGTGAATATATGAACCTAATTGGAATTCGACTCTTCAATTTCCGAACAGTTAGCTATTTCACCACGAACATATCAAAGTTTACAGCACCGGTATTCCCAAGTGATCACCCATCTAGGTACTGACCAATGTCGACGTTGCTTAACTTCAGCGATCGTACGAGAACCGGTGTTTCAATGCGATATGGACGTAAGTTCAATAGGAGCCAAAATGACACTTATCAGAAAGAGCTGACATTTCATGGACATATATTGAGGAAAGAACCTAGAAAATTTACTACCGACACGACACACTGAAGACAAGAGAAAACGGAGTAAACTAAACAAGTTTTTTTGGAGAGACAAAAGATACAGTAAAGAATGAAAAAGCTACTTAACGCATGAAAAGTCTAAGTTATCAAGGGACATGATCGCTCATGCCCTGAAGGAACAAGGCTTATTTAATTACAAGAAAAATATTTGAATTAAGTATTAGTTTTACTTTGTGCTTATAATTTGACATTTTAACGACATATCAAGTTATGGGTTATTTAATGTCAAAATTTAAATTTTGGGGAGATTTGAAGTAATAAAATATGATACATGTTATTCTGCTTTCACAATTGAATACATGGTAGATAATACTCAGCTTTTGTGCAGATATAAGTTTGTGTGAACATAATTAGTAGATATGTTTTTATGTTGTTTTTGAAGTTATATTTTAGAATACAGTCTAATAAATTGAAGGATATTTTATAGATTAATTTCATGAAAGTTATTTCATGTTGAATGAATTATTGTTGGTAAGTTTTCTATAAATAGATATTGTTTTTTTTTTTTGTTTTTTTTTTTAAATAAAAAGCTATTGCTGACATTTTTACTGTCAAAACGTATTTTTATATTTTCATAGTGTTTTGTGTGGGGGTTCACTATTTGTCCTATAATTGATACTATAACAAGTGTTATCACTCCAGCTAAGGGTGGACCTGGGAACTGTAGTGGACTGTGGGGTGATGAGGATGTGAAGAACACACGTGGGTTAAAATTTCCTGCTAGCCCGTCCAGCTACATGAAAATGTTGGACTTTAAGTCCAAAGAAAACAAACAAGACCGATAATTATATATATATATATATATATATATATATATATATATATATATATATATATAACAACAAACAAGCATATGGACAGTTACATTGAGTTGATGTGGTGAATATTATGTGTGTGTATTGTTGTGAGTGTTCGTTCGTACGTGTATTGGTATTGTTCCTAGCGTGTTCCCAGAATTTGGGAAAAGCTGTATTGGTGAGAGCTCACATATTTATATTAGCTGAAATGAAGAGAAAAGAATTACCCCACCTCATCAACGCGAGGTGGTATAAGGCCCAAGGCCTGAGGGAAAAAAGAGATCAAGGCAAAAAGTCAACCAATATTTATAGCCAGGGAAGAGAGACCCCTAGTGAAGGGTTAAGGAACTAAGGAGGAGCTAACTCCGACAGAACAACAACATTTAAAAGGTAGTTCCACACTCCTCAAAAGCTCCAATCTTCCAATCAGAGACCTAGCTGCCGGATGTAGTTTATCATCATACCTAGGACTAGTCCTAATAGTTATCAGATATCATTTGTTTGTTAGCTCATGGTCCAACAATCATAGCATATCATTGCGAATGATATTAGATACTTTGAATAGCAACTGAAAAACTCATCAGTTATGGAGTACGAAATGTGATTGCAGCATAGTGATATCAAATCTAAGAGTGGTGGGGATCTGTTACAATAATGGTAAGCCAATTGCGAAATCGTGCTGCGCTTCTTGTGGAAATCACGTGCCCACGAGTCGATTTCTGGCTTGGATCAAATCTCTGATGACCCTTAGGGTCGGTGGTTATTATCTTTGCAATCACTACCCTCTAACTTCTCCTCCGCACACGTGGTAGTAGCTAAAGCTGTTGGCACACAATGTCTATCCGCTCTTCACAAAAGTTTCGTGAGAGGCCAAGTGATAACTACAGCATTTGCCCCAACAACTTTCAATTCTTTTCTTCCTTTATTCTAGTGAAGTAGTCTTTTTATTTTTCTGTTGTCCCTCCCCGTACCCGTTCGAAACATGGCCGTGATAAACTTGTGGAATTACATGGTTACCCGATATGTGTGTCTCAGGTAATCGATCCAAGAAATTCAGGCTGTCTGATTTATATTGATCTTCTCTAATTCCATTGTTCCAGGTTCATAAATAGATCATTGTATAAAAGCGTTCTTGCGTTTATAAACAAAACGAATCTTTAATAAATTTCTTTTAAATAAAATCGGTTGCTTAAGGAATAAGGTACGTCGATTTATAGTCCTGTTTTATGTCTGAAGCAGTTGAATATTCCCTTCTCTATTGCCATACTTGATATTTCCCTCAGCATTCTAGTCTTGGTTCGAACCCAGTTAAAAGGCAAGGATTTCGAAAGCTAGTGTACAAGGTAAATTAGAAGATTCTCCATTTTGAAGAAATAGACATAGAAACCTCTTGCTTCATAGAAATCAATATATTTGTAGAGGACCGTGTGTGTTTGCGTGTTGTTGAATTAGAAACATGTGTGTAACTCCTGATAGAATATTAAAAGGTCCAACTACAAGAAAATGGCTGGACTTGAATTAAATGCAACTGAAGATAAAGACAAACAAGATATATATATTTATTAAACAAAACAATTTTACAATGGACTTAGACAATAACATTTGTGTGTGTGAACGTTTGTGTGTTTTTTGGTGAATGTTCATACGTACGTGTATTTGTGCAGAATCTTCACGGCGTCTTCCCACAAGTGGAGAGACGTTATCTTTTTGCGAGAGCTTACATTGTATATATGTTCGCTGAAATGAAGAAATGAAAAAGAGAACGAGGCGAGAAGTCGCCCAGTATTTATAGTATAGGGAGTGTGACCCCTAGTGACAATTAGGGAATTAAGGAGGAGCTAAATTCCGACATATTCAGTTGTAAAATATACAACACACACACATATATATATATATACACACACACACAATGACTTATCAGTTTCTAAATATCTGTATGTTTATCTGAGCTTCGCTCGACGCAGATATTTGTATATAGATGAATCTGTAGGGATCGAACTCGTAACAGTGGTTCTGGTTTTCTAGTCTAGCTTGTTAACTATTACATTACAAGGAGGGAAATCGGTTTTGGAACGTTTGGTCATATGTTATGACCGAAAACGGATAATGTGACGGCTGAGGTTAAGGTATATACATGGAAGACCTTGACAGATTCAAGCAATTCTTTTCCTCACATATCCAGTGCCCGGGTTGCTATAACCCATTTTATGTTAAGCTGTCTGCCAATCTTACCAACGAAAAAAAATTTGTTTATCCTAGCTTACACACTTACCCTCTCAAATATCTTACATCGTTATGTTAACCATTACAAACTATTATGTGCCAGCGTATTTAATATCCATCATCACTGTCACGCACCTAAAATCATCCGACAAGAGCAGATTTATTTATTTACGTTGTATGTGATGTATTTATTGGAAACAATGCTGTCAAGTTGCGCTCTCGGTCGTAACAAGTTTGAGCCTAGGTTAAAACCTGTTTTTTAATGCATTCAGGCATCTATTAGGGAATAGTTTGTTGTGAGATATGTAAGAATGCACGGTACTTGTTAGTCTTTTTTCTACTATTTACTAATGGACATGTATACAATCAATAGATTGTAACATTGCCATTATGATATACCTTTGTGCGTCATTAGAGTATAGACAGAAAGACAGAAATAAAAAAAGAAACTCGACTGTACCTCGAAATACCTCGATAGTGACCCTGCGAAAAGCAGGTTTTGACAGATGCGCCTATATAAGTTTCTACAGATGACTTGCCTTAGTTTAAGATGGAGGCAATAATCAAACTCACTGCAGAGCAGACTAAATGTCATTCACAGTAAAACAGAAAAAATATGTTAGAAATGTACGACGAAGCGATTTTGGTTTTCTATAAGCGATATTTCGAAATATGCCCATTTTTTTGTGGTATCACGCGCATGAAGTATAAATTGTAATTCATCTCTAAAACAGCTCCAGTTCTGGCTCAGACTGTCCGTGGATGGCCGGCCGAGATTGCACGCGGACCGTCATCTGTGGTGCTCTATAACTATACAAAACAGCTACAAGAGGATCATTCACTAAACGTGTCTACTACAACTGCTAGAATTGGCCTTTAATATGTTATCATCTGAGGCATATTATATCAAACATCTGATATTTTCACTGAATCAGCGCAATGCAAAAACTAAGAAAAGCGAAAAAAACGACGGAAATAGCACGAGGTGGATACTTTTGGGAGCATATGCATAAATTAAGTTCAATGACAGTTGTAAATCCGACTGTATTAATAAAGCCGTTACCTAAAGAGATCATTTGGTTAAAATGATTTTATTGGTCGTAAACACAAATAGATGACTGAAAGTACATTCATACTTATGTTGGTCAACAGTTTCATGAAAATTCGGAGAAAAACGCTTATTCTCTTTTAGGAAAAAAAAAACAAAAAAAAAAAAAATTGCCCAATTAGATAATTGGCATTTATCCATCTTGGTCTCTTCCTACAAATCCTTGACATGAACATTTTCATTAAGCTGAAACATTGTAAATTAGTGCGTACTACATTTTAAAACAGAATGTCACAAAATATACACGCATTTTAACAAGAGAACACACTCTAATGACTTGTCTTTTAAAAGAACAAGAACGCGATGTGATACTAATATCTGAATAAAAAATTCTGAAGTCATACAAGAAATGTGATCATATAAAGAAAGTGATTATAAAGAAAACCAAAATGGTCATCCACTTCGCGGTACCTATACAGAGTTAGAAGAGAAATGACCAAAACAGATGAATATATCGCTCAATCAGATAGGAGCATTAAATTGAGATATAATGAAAGCAGAAGGGATCAGAATAGACGAATATATCAGAATATTATTTTAAGTGCATACATTTACTGACATTTGGAACATATGATTAAGCAAAGACAGTCTTTGAAAAGAATAGTTGGTAACCTTAAATATCAGCAATAATTATTAGAGTATCATTCAAATAACCAAATACTTGAAGAACGTCTTTAAAAGAAATAGTTTCATTCTATGTGGATTTAAATGCTTTGAAGATCTACTTGGTGACTGGACAATACTTTTTTGTTATC